AAAATGTCTCTTCCTAATATCATTAACGCAATATCAAAACCTCTTGACTGTATTTTTTTTCTTATTTTTATTATTAGAAAATGCCACATTAGATAATGCCTAAAAAAGATAAAATGATGATAAAATGATTTTAATACTTAAAATTAAAACACATGTTTACAGAAAACTTAAATATGACATTTCTCTGCAAATTTTAGTGCACAATCTATATTTGCAGACTGTAACATCGGAAAAAACCATAACATATAAAATTTATTCCTTTTCCTCAATATGTTAAATTGAGCAAATACACAGTAATGCATTTTTGTGCATTTAACTTTGCTTTACCCTTTTTTTCAATTAGCAGGACCCTCAAAAGACCACCAGAGAGCAGGTATCATTTGGGTGGCAGTTCACTCTCAGCACTGCAGCGACGCTGACGTGGTCGTTTCGTGTTAGTGTGTGTTGTGCTGGTACGGGTGGGTCAGACACAGCAGTGCTGCTGGAGATTTTATACACCTCCGTTGCTGGACTGAGAACAGACCACTGACAAAAAACATCCAGCAAACAGCATCCTTTGGGCTGTGTCCTGTGATCACTGATGAAGAACCAGAGGATGACTAACGCAAACTGTGCAGCAAAAGATTACCCTGAAGACTGAAGAACCAGATAAAAGGAGGTTAACACAGTATGCAGAGAAACAGATGGACTATAGTCTGTAATAGTGGAACTACAAAGTGCTCCTGTATAGTTAGTGGAGCTGATAAAATGGAGAATGAATGTAGATATAGGAAGGTATACTTAATGAAGTGTTAAGCCAAAGTGCTATTTAGATATAGATATAGCTGATTTAAATGTACAATATTAAACATTTCCTTGATTACTTAAACAAATTGGGCCCGATTTACAAGACAAAAACACTACAACTAAAGCATGCTCAAGTTTTATCAGCAGATCAGCTAATAATAACTGTATGTGTGTGTGTACGTATTTGTATGTGTATTATCTGCTACAGGCATATCCTGGATTACATGGAAGCACTTGTCTCTCCCCGCCCTCCTTCAATTCAGCAAAAGATTAAGAGGAAATAATACAGAAGATGTATTTAGACATCCCCCTTTCTAGTCACGTCCTCTGAGGGTAAGCTATTTTTACACTCGTGCTCAAAAGATCAATCTCTGTCTATGCTTTGGTGATGCAACAAAGTGTATACAATTACACACCGTTTGTGTCTGTAGAAGCAGATGTGCAGATGTGAATGGCTACATTACAGGACAACAGAGAATAAAAAAAATCAATCTTACTCCAGGCTTTAGCAACACAGCTTGGAGTATACAGTTACTCAAAGTTTGCGTCTCAGAAACAAGACGATAAAAGATCACTGTGTGTGTGTAATTTAAGGCTGTTAATGTGGACTGAGCTTGAGCTCTCAAAATTAGCCAGAGGAGGGTTCTGGGTCCTAGCGTCTCTGCCTTTCCCACTGCTGTCATGCCCTAGAGCTGCTGCAACATGCCACCTCTATCATCACACTTCTGCATCCGTCAGGAAGTGGAAATGAGAATATGTTCTCAGTGCACCACGCCTCGCTAAAAAAAGACTAAAACCCCTGAACACGTGTCAGTGGGCAGGGCTATATGCAATGCTTTTACTGAGGTCTCGTCCAAAAATGCTTTTATACTGAATTGACTTATCAGTGCTCTGCTCTCAAATGCGCTCTTACGTGGCAACGGTTGGGCAAATATTACAGAATGTTGGCAAAAATCCCAACCAATCTAATGAACAAAGCTCAGTTTTAGTCAAAATACAGAAATTTAGAGTGCATTATTAATTTTACTTTAAAAAATGAAAGATCACACTTTTCTTTTTTTTTACTGTGTAATCAAGCTTACATCAGCACAGGAATCGTGGCACGTGTACTATCATTTCGTTTTGATTAGCTAGCTACAATAACGTAGTTATTTTATACTTAATTGATTCCACAAGGGAAATTTGTCATCTTGCTGCCTAACTATGTCCAGTCTGAGAGCAGCACAGCAACACCAGCAGATTAACCAGAAATCTCAGTCAGGCCTGGGATTTAAACCACAGATTCTAAGTTGCTGGCTCACCTCTCCCACCCCTGGCTACCAGCCAACCAGCTCAGTAGTGTAGCATTTTAAACTGGAAACTCAGTGTTATCCAACCTAAATTCATTAAAGGGGAATTTTGCAAAATTCTGCATGATTCTATATTTGAAATGTAAACAAAGTCATTACGAGTGATTTAATTTGTAATAGTGCATTGAACAGAAACCAGCCAACTCAGCTGGTTGGTACAATAGCAGTGATAGGGACCAGGGGTCACAATATCTACAAAGCAAATACAGCCAGTTTATTTGCTGTATCCAAAATGACCAGTGAACCTATATATATATATATATATAGATCTTCTGAGTTTTATATGTGATGTTGATGATAGTAAAATAGTGGTAAACCTGAAAAATGCATGTATCCCTCCGCCACAAATGGAGAGTATAATATATGTTTTAGTCTAAAAACTATTGTAAAAAAAATGTCTCAGGCAAGAGGCGGCATATTGGTAGACATTTCACGTAGTAACTTTCTGCGAGGAAGCTTTTAGAGGCAATAAGAGCTTCAGATATTTGGTTCCTATTATCACCACTGTGCTAGAACAGATCGTTAAACATCAAATACGGATAACTTTGTTTACTTGTTAATAATTTAATTATGCAGAACTTTTGAAAATGAGTGGAGTTCCCCTTTAAGCTGATCATAAAGTTCTGTACAGCTTGCCCAACAGCTGCTATGGAAGGACGCTTTGTGAGTAGGGATAGGTCAGTTGTACTGGGAAGGAGGTCTCAAACCATTGGCTCTGTTGCCACTTCATAGTATAAAAGCATTACTGTAAATTTATCTTTGTTACTGAAGTTAGATAAAGTTACAGCATATCAAACAACTACTTACAGCATATTAACCTCAAATTTCTAAGGGCTTATATATCAGTCCACGCTTCATTACTACTACACAACCTACTCACACTACTAAACACCCTCAGTAGCCACCCCTACTCTTTATACACTGGTCTGTATTTGACTTTTCTGGCCTCCGTGAGTGATGGAGCAAAGGCTGTAAGTTTGTCATGTATCAGCACGAGCCCTGCCCCTCTCTCAGCTCTTTAATATCATCTCATTTCCATTGCTTGTTGAGACAGGGCCAGGCGGAGTTGGGGTCCGCCACTGGCAGTGTCAGTTACAGCCAAACAGGTGAGATAAATGGAGTGGCAGAGGAGTGTGGAGCGGAGGAAGAGGCTGGACGGGGGTTCATGTGCCCCACCTCTGACAGCTTGACGTATGGGGGCGGCGGCGGGCAGAGCTGGCCCCATAATTCAGCATGTTATAAATCCTGGATAAGGATGAAAGACTGCCACAAAAGAGATTACTGTCCATTTGGTCTAATGAGCCAGTATATCAGCGCCTGGAGACACTCGCCCCCTGACCGCCTTCACAAACACTCACTCACTTGCCCCTCATACACTGGGCATTTCAATTGTTAAATACCGGATCAATAACGTAAATAATTTATTATGAGTCCCTGCTGATGTTACAAAACTCCCAAGTCTCGCTGTTTTCTCACCGAGACATACATCTCGCACTTGACAAGGCATCTGCGGATCAATACCGTGATAAGTTTAGCCCAGCTCCTTTTCCAAACATTGGATTTTCTCTGAATTAAGCGGATCGATGGAACCTATGAATAAAGCAGGTGCATGACTACCAGGCTTCCTCAATCAGCCATGCATGAGTGTGTATTTGCATCTCATTGTGTTGTCACACTTCCCTGTGGACCTGAGTTAACAACAAAAGCAATGAGTTCACCTGCTCAAACAAGGCCAGTACCTGCAGTTCCCACTATGTCCACTAGTCTGCACTGTGTCACATGCCACTTTTTGCTTTTCATGTTCCAAACTCGCAGTACGTGCATCCTCTGTAAGAGAGCACAGGTACCATGAAAATGCAGATGCAGAAACACACAGCGTCCCAAGTCCCAGTCAATGAAACATCCACGAACCAGATGCAAACGCAGGAGGAAATCAATATTAATCATTTCATGGTGTTGCTCTCGGGGTGGAAATGACACATCGTTCTGTGTTTTCCCGTGCCATCAATATTCCAGCATGAAAAAATGCACAGCGCAAGCCCAGCCCAGCTGACCACAATGTAAAATGGATCCTTGGAAGAAGAGGAATAATAGCGAGAGAATGAAGAAAGGAGGCAAGTGCACCCTAGAGAGGGAAATCAGACTTCAAAAACACGGCAACATGTGAACAGAAACGCTTATCTGCAGAAGAAAACAGATATTACCAAGAGGCCTGATAATCACTGGGATAATGAGTGCCAGATTGTATTTACAGGGTTTTATCCGCAGCACTGAAGTGCATGGCAGAGTTCTGATTAACTAATGCAGTTCCCAAGAGGGACTATGATGCACATACATTATGGGCCTTATGGCAAGGCTTTGTTACAGGACAAGCGAAGACCAAGCAGGACAGAAACAAGCCATGTACTGCAGCAAAGTTCCTTTGACAAGGGTGTGATAGTACTTAAATAAATACTACATATCAACAGAGGCTTTTTAGCCTTTAGTTTGGATAAGCAGAACTTCAGAAAGGTTGCTAGTGTGGAAGCCCAAAGCAATTTGAAGCAACAGCTCATAGCAGCTCTCTGATCTGATGCCTGTAGCTGGTAAAGGCTTTTAATGAAACTTGCGTGCATTTCATTTCATCCATGCAGTGATCATTAAGTGTGTCTTACCCTGTCTTTCAGTATGAGACTCTACATAGAGTGAGACAGACAAAGGGACAGGGACAGACAGGTTAGCAACCACATAAAACACTGTGGACTATGGGTGGATTTTCAACATAACAGTAAGTGCAGCTTAGTGAAATAATGAGATCTCAGCTTGTTAATGAGTGAACTCACTGGGATATAACGCATTATGAGAACAAAGATAAAGGATGCTAACCACTTTGTCTTCCTTCTTCTCCAGCATCACAGCAGCAGCACATAAGAGGGAGAGAAAATAAGGGAGGATGGGGGAAAGGTGGAAAGAAGAACAAGAGCAGGAAAGTGGGGGAACAGAAAGCAGATCAAAGAGAAACAAATCAGTTACATGAACAATGGACACTGGTGGACAAATAAGCATTAGAAAACAACCTTGGCAGGAGAAAACTGGATATGGTTCTAGCAAATCATTTAAATTATGAACCATAACATTAACATTTTTCACTGTCTGAAAATAATTGACAACTGAAAAGTAAATGGCTTTTTGAAAACTCACTGTAAGAGCTGAACAGAGATTTAAATTTGCAGGTATGTTGCCACCCACAGGGCACTGCGAGAAGGTGCAGTTTTGCAACCGAGAATTTCACAATGAAATTTACTATGAATAATTCCCTGTGGAAGTAAAAGACAGTTCATGGGTCGATGAAAATAAGAATATTAGATTCTACTTAGTAAATCTTGTTTCATATCCTCGGAGATAGAGACCAAAGAATGTGCACACATAGTGAAATGCAAATAGCACTGCATGGCAGTGCACATCTGCATTCTTTTTCTCGTTCTCTCTTTATATCTCTCTCTTTCTCTCTATACACATGCACACACTGACTGTGATTTTTCCTTTCAACTCATATTTTGAGTCTCTAAGTGTCTGTTTGTGTCTTCTAGCTCCAGGCCTACTGTTCATAGCAACCCACAGCAATAGAGCTATTAAGTGCATTTCATTGCTGTTAGCTACTGTGTCCTACTATACAGTCCATCACACTGAGTAGGTGTAGCTCTCTATGTTTAACCTTCAGGCACCAAGTGACTCCATTATCAAGCCAGCCACTCTCATTAATAGCACATGCCACGGGGCTGTGAGAAGCGTTGTATGCTCATTTCAGCTAAGCTAACCTCTAGGCTGCTTCCATCCATAAGCGGCACACAGCCTCTCGTCCCACATCACATTAGAGGCTACTGACTTTAAATCACCCATAGATGAGGGCGGCCGCACACTTTTAGTCTGACTCTGTTGTGCTAAGCCGTTCTCACTGTCTGAATTATCACAGCTGTTTACACCTGGTTGTTTCATATCAGGATTATATTCAGATAATTATTACATTATCTACACTATCTACATTATCTGCAGTTGTAAATGCACTCAGGACACATTTGAAACAGATTTAAATCTGATCTCTCAAAGTACTTCAGGAGGTGGTTCATTTCAGATGTTACGTGTTTATACATTACACACACACACACACACACACACATATATATATATATATATGTGTATATATATATATATATATATATATATATACATACATATATATATATATATATATATATATATATATACACACATATCTGTAAAATGCTACACCCAGCATTAAATAAATACAATAAACAAATAAAAAAATTCAAGTACATAAATATTGTAAATTACTGTACTTTTAATTACTTCTTAAAGTATTGAATAAAACAGCTAAAAATATATTTTGGCAAATAGTTTTTAATATTTAAATCCACATTGTAGATATTACAAGTTATTACTGAAATGTGTAATTGTAAATATGGTAAATAATTCCAAACTTTTGAATGATAGTGTACATCTCTCGCTCTCTCAAGTCACATTTAACAACCAAAACCCCTCCAATATATTACATCATAGTGCACATGGTCCATTAATTCAATTAATAAAGTCTTCTTCTAAGCACTGACTCTCAAAATTGGCACCTTACTCTAAGTTTAAGGAAATGAACAACGCTGTGCATAATCACCACTGTTAAGGCAGCAACCATCTTTACAATAACTTGATTTAAATCTAAATAACCTGAGATGCATTTGACTAACATGTGCATGTTGTTATCTTATCAGGAGACAATCCAGATATAAGTTGCATGAATTGACCAGGTGTAAGGAGGGCCTTTTCTTCTTTCAGTAGATTTAAACTTTCCTTCCTCACTCTCTCAACTTCATACCTTGCATATTGCTTCATAGTAGTTACTGAATAATTCAAAGTAGTGACTGCATACTTAAGACTTAAAATGAATAACTGTAGCCTAGAGGTTAAAGGGTTAATTACATCTAACTCTTCTTTCTCTCACAACTCACCTATCTTTAATGTATATCCTGCATTAGTGAGCTAATCCTCAGTTCAAAGCTGTCTCGTTCTGTTAACTTCCAACACTGGACTCATTACAGTAGAGCACTAATTAGCGCTGTGGATTTAGGTGCAGAAGCCTTATGGAAAAAGGAGGTGAAAGAAGGTAAATATCACACACAGGGAGGGAGCCACCATTTCTGGGGCTTCCCTGTGAGCGGCACCGCTGCCCCTGTAGGGAAGACGCTCCAGCCTGGGCCTCCCAGTGAGGGCGTGCAGTGACCCCCCGCTGACCAGGACAGTCATCTTCTCTGACTAATGCCTAATTAACCTTTCTGCCTGGCCTGCGCTCCTCTACTCTCCTGTGCTTAAATGTCCTCACATCAGTGGGTCGGACACACAGATAAACAGGTGTACACGGAAACAAGCAAACAAGAAGAGCGCAGTCTGTGAAGACGTGCATTTAAAAGAGCAGAATATGACAGATGTTCATTATGGGGGATTAGACAAATACAAAACAGACAGGATATACCGATACAGAGGTTTAACCCCTTTGTGCAGACAGTGAAAGAACTACCAAAATACCAACAGGACATAATGGTGCACCAGTGTGGCACAGAACTGTGATACAATGTAGTACACCGACAACACACAGGCATTGTTATATGAATTGATCTATTATGATTATTTTCAAAAACTTCTGATAATAATAATTATGTTGCAACAAGGAACGTGAATTGTTTTCATCAGTTGTCTAGGGTTAGGGTTTTGACGATTGCGATTTGTAAATTATGACTTTGCAAAGAGCTCGCTTTAGAGGTCACTAAAGTGATGATCACTATTTTTTAGAATGATCACTTTGAAAACAGTACTATCACTAAGGCCACTCCATTTGTCTCTGTAGCAGGTGGAAAATAAACTAGATCTAGAACCCTAGGTTTGGTTGGTTTTCAATTAGGAAGGTCACCTGCTAGGATTTTCTTGGATTGTTATGGTTTGTGGTTGTGCATCCAGGAAAAAATAAATTGCTTTCCTGGATACAGAATGTTCATATGTTAGCACTGCTTACAACGTTTAAACTGCTTCTTTAAATTCAATCAAATGACTTGTATACAATAATGGGCTTGATGTGTTCAGATTACGCTCAATCTACTGACAATTTTTAAAAAACAAGTGCACTGTGCATTGACGTTTAGACACTCCTAAACACAACCCGATAACTGAGAAGATCAGGGGCTGGATTCACAAAAGCTTTCTTGAGTAAAAACTTGTGAAGGTTCTTAAGACAAACACTAAGAAGTTCATCAGAATGTTCTTAAATACAAATCAATACAATACAAAAAAAAGAAGATTTTCTTTCTTAAGACACTTTTGAGAATCTGGCCCCAGGTTCTGTAGCTGAAGGTCTAGCTACATTAAATTGCACCATAAGCAAGTCAGTGATTAAGCAAGTCAGTGATTAAGTGTCCAGGAATTCCATGAAGCTGATATGGCAAGCCTAGTCTGTTTGTGTGTTTGAAAGTGCAGTAGAAAAGCAGCCTCAGTGTTTCAGTTGTATCAAAGCACAATCCTGTCACACTCTTAAACACGTTATGTCATGATCAAATTTAAACTAGTAAAAGCTTGACTGCAATAAGTGAAAACCACTGTTAAAGAACATTTCAGGTATATTCACATGGTGTATTTGTGTTGCAGTTGAGTTTTCCCCAATTTGTTCTCAAACAAGGCACAAGCTCAACTAAATACTGAACCTAAACATCTGGATTTACAGTTAATGTGTTTAGTGTTTAGAACTTGGATATGCACATTTGGATAGTGGTGTCATTTTACTGTTAGACATTTTTAATGCAATAACTTGATTAGTTGTGGATGGCACAGCCTCCACCACTAGAGGGCCTGCATGAAGGGGTTAAACGTCTACTCGCGAAGGGGCAAGGAAAAAGACCACCGTGGCCATCCTGTGGAAGGACCATAAATGCAGGGTGTTCTCACTCACATTGTTGGAGCGCAGAGAGACCCTTCCTCCACATCGGGCGCAGAACTTGGTCTGGCAGTAGGAGCAGAGGTTTCCACAGCCATCCGCAAACTTGGTCTTGTGGCAGATGCCACAGGTGGGCGCATCATCCTTATGCTGGCCCTGCTGCCTCTGCTGAGGCTCCTGTGCTATCCGCCGCACCTGCTCCTTATAGCTGGCAAACTGCTGGTGCATGCTGAGAAGAGAAGAGAAGAGAAGAGAAGAGAAGAGGAAAAAAGACTGTATTTTACTGTGTTTTTGGTGCTAATTTTATAAACTTAATCCACTCAACTTTAGTCCTATTGCAGTTTCAGCAACATTGCCTTCTATTAACTAACTATGTGTTTACTCAGGGGACCCTGTTTAATTCAACAAACAAGCAATCATTAATCACACAGCGAGTTAAACTGAGCAAGTTAGAATTCATTTTGTTGCAAAGAATCAAGAAGTGGGGAAAAAAATGGACATATATTTTTTACATTTGAAATACATTTCAAATACATTGCAATCCATGCCAAAATACATTCCAAACACTAAAATGTATTTCAGAATATATTGCCATATTAACCAAATATATTTTGAAATACATTAATTTTAAAATGTATGGGGAAATATTACACATAGAAATACACCATACCAAAATAAATGGATGTAACTATATTTATCTGATGTATTTGAAAATGTATGAAAATAGCCAAAATACTTGTCTAATGTTATTTACTGTTTGGAAAACCTTATGAAATGAATTTGTGCCAGTATCTTAATTTTAAATATTAGCAAATGAACCTTTAACATGGCAAAAGCAAGTTTTGCCGGTATTGTTTCACTGTGAAAATGCAGTTTGATGATTTGATAGCTTGTTTATTTGAAAGACATTCTGTGTGAACGCTGTCTTACAGCATACACACAATGATTAACGCAAAACAAAAAAGTCAGTACCATTCACTCCATTCATGTATATTTAGTTATATCTGGAAACTTTGTTAAAACTACATACAACTGAAAATATACAATAATACATACAAACAAATGCATTTCAAAAATATATTTAACAAATACATTGTTCGGCCATTTTTATACATTGCAAAAACATATCTGATAAATACATTTGGAATGTATGTTTTTTTCCACATGTGACAGCAAAGCTCTTACTGAAGTCATTAAGAGAAAATCAGAATTAAATCTGTTTTTGTCAGATGTGAAGAGGTTCTAAAGTTGACTAAAACACAAAGCTACTAAAACCCCATTAATGCTGATGGAGCTGATGCCCTGCCAGTTTTGTCCTAAGACTGAAGGAAGCATGAGATTTCAGAGAACAGGATGGATACAAAAATCTCCACTGAAAAATCAATAGAATATACTGGCTCCACTGGACCATGTTCTTCACACTGTAGGCTACAGTAAAACCTCTCTCATGCCCTCACTTCCCTCCTCCTCTCTTCCCCATGCAAGGCCACTCCTTTCCTCCACTGTCTCTCTGCCTTTCACACAACAAGCTAAGTGCTCTCTAGGTCCCAAGCAATTTTATGACCTATACCAATTGTAATTGATATGATTTCAATTTGATATGTCAATGTGAAACTGTCAGATATGATTGACAGTTCTTTTCTTTGACTCAAAAACCTCAGAAGCTTACAATATGTTTAATAAAATACAGTTGTATGCAAAAGTTTCAGTACCACTGGTCAAAAGATTGGATGAGATATGTTAGGACGTTGTTTTTAAGATTTTCTAGGTGAAAATAAAACATTCTGTGCATAAAATATAAAATGTGCCATAACTTTTGCATGGGCCACACTTTATTTTTGTTATTTTTCTTTTTTTTCCCTTTCAATATTCAGAAAATGACAGTAACAGTGCTTTTAAAATGTGCAGAAGTGTGTTCTCTGTAGAGGATGTGTCCTTTTTTTTACTTCAAAATCAACAAAACATGTAATTTGACCAAACTTTTGTATATGACTAAACAATATAAATAATGTAAACATTATAGCCTCTTGTTTGTTTCATTTCACTATGTTAATGCTAAAATTGGTGTTTTGTGTTCAAACGTATCAGTTTAGCATGTACTGCAGTAATGAAAGTGAGCAGCTGGTGAACATCAGCTTAGCAGCTTACACAAAGCCTGACATATGAGCAGCAACATTTTTGCCTATACTGATAAATCCCACAGGACTTCAATATCGGCCGATATTATCGAGCAAATGATATATTGGTTGGGCCCATATATGCATGCTAAAATCTCAAGGTCCAGATGCTGTGAAGAACTACACACCAGGGTCAGAGCAATTGCAAACATTCACAATGTTCACCTTTTCCTTATTAAAGCTTCTTATTTAAACTCCAGAATAAACAGGTATAACATATCAATTTAGCAAGAATAATAGTCACAAACAAAACTTGCTCTGGATGATTTGCTCAACACTGCCAATACTAACAACCAATACTAACAACCAATACTACAACGTTTATCAGCAACACTGTGCATCAACGTCAAGCTTTACTTACGTTGTGGCCGTCCTCACCACAGATTCCTCTGTCATATCTTAAATGCATTACACTAAATGACTCATAAAGACAGTTAAAAAAAGAGAATGCAGTATCCACAGTATGTGATGAATGTTTGCCAAGCCATGCAGCACTGTCCCAGAGAGAGAGAGAGAGAGAGAGAGAATCATCCTCATCCCTGCCTCAGCCCCCCACCCCCACACTCCCCCTGTGCACCCCTCACCGCTCTTCCTTTCCCCACTAAGCCCCCAGCCAGCACTTCCTGCAGGTCAAAGGTCACAGAAAGGGCACCAAGCACCGAGGTGACGTGCTGGCTGCCACGTGATGCTCAGTTACTGAGCTCCACACTCAGGACCACTTGAAAGTTGAAAGAAGGTCCACATAATCTATAAGTTATTTGCAAATTAAAGGGTTCACATCCTACATTTTTTCCTGTCCATTCAGAAACAGTCATGCTTCATATCTACATGACCATTTTCCAACCTCAACCTCGCTTTATCTCTGAGAATTAAACAGAACGTTTTTGATACTATGCCTTTAGGACTGATATAGGTAAATCTGATTGGCTGCAAGGTATTGTTCCTCATTTAAAAGCAGCCCAGGCTGCAATACTCATATCACCAATGTGAATAAGCAGAGCTAAACTGTTATAGGCTGAATAGATAGTTTTATGTAAATATATGTTGGTTTTTGTGAGGGGATGTTTTTGCGACTTCATGTCCAAATGTGGACTATATGGACTGGGGACTGAATGGTACATTTAAGAAAATGCCTAATGTTTACATCATAACTTCTCAAAAATTTGATTTTTGATTTGATTTTTTGTTCTACACCATTTGAGCACAGCAGCTGCTCTTTATGTAGTGGTAAAAGTTGTGACCAAGGGATCAATAGAAATCTCTTTACATTAACTTACATTAAAGATAAAGAACATTTTTGCCTTCTACTGTAAAGTTGCCATTTTGGAGACAGTGAAGATATAGTGCATGAAATAAAGCAGGAAAATTGAAGAAAACTTTCTTAGAACACTATATCCAAGCCGATAACAATTTAGTAACCTTTGTTTTTAAGAGGGTACAGTTTATAATAGAGAGGTGTGCTAGTTGACATTGAAAGTTGTTGACTATGTTACGCATTAATTAGTTAAAAAATGCTAAACAAACTAAATGCTTGGATAAAGCTTTGCAGCTAGCTTTTAAGCCTTTCAGCGACTGCAAACCAGAAGAAGAAGAAAGAGATAAGCATCGAGTCTGGCACCGTAAAAGGACAAATGAAGGCACTCTGTACTCTCTGCAGGAAATGATATTCAGGAAAGGAAGCCAGACACACCACAATTAAGACAGCACATAAAACACTGGCTTTCATAAATGAAACACAAGGTTATACGAAAGTGAACAACTGTTTTACTTCACTGGCACAACCCCCTCCTTTCCCCATTACACAGGACTCTCTCTCTCTTTCTCTCGCTCTCTCTCTCTCTCGCTCCCACACCCTTCATTCTCTCTCTCTCTCTGCCTCTTTCTCCCTCTCACTCACTCTCTTTTAACCAAGAATAAAAATAAACCTTTTGTGAAATGCAAATCAGGCACAGTGTCTACAAGACACGGCAAGCAATTCACACAGGAATGCTGCATTAGCATAGAACTTGGCGTAATTAAGGTATGCAGAAGGCCTAATTAGTGTGGTAAAGTGTGGGAAAACGTGGAGGAGAGTCGGTCCGGAGACGATCGAGATGAGACGGCCGAGATGAGACGAGCTCGCCCCCGCTCGACGACAGCTGGTCTCCGCGGTGACGGCGGACCCGGGGAGGGGACCTCGCCTACCTGTCCATCTCACAAAAGAAAACGTCCGTGATTAACCAGCTGTCAGCTAGCATTCATGCTAACGCATACGGAGGCAGGGCCAGAAGCCGTAACTCGCGCTCCATACACAGCGATCTCAGAAGAGAAGGCTTTGGTTGAGCCTTCCCATGCTGGCCCATACATCAGCCTGGTCTGTTCACAACCCAGCTGTAAATCCACCCTGTCTGTGCCAGGACATCCCAGGAGAATACAGGGACAGGGGCTAAATCAGGTGAAGGAACCTCCAAGGTTGATTCAGTACAAATCCAACATGATTTACTTCTGATGTTCAGGCACGGATGATAATGATGGACCGTGCACTGCTTTGTAGGTTACGCTGGAACCATTACTCTAGCACACCAGCCCGTCCTAACATATCTCATCCAGACACATAGAGAGCAGCAGCCCATTTCGCAAAGCCACTTTCAACTGAGTGATTTCCACTTCACTCCATGCCTTACCGGACTACCAACGGCACCAAAAAGAAAGATCAAATCTTGCCCTGCTTACAGGAGTTTGACCTAAATAACTGAGTGCTCCTTTGGGGTAAATACTTCATCTGTTCAGGGAGTCGCAACCAGTTCGAGCTCCGAACCACAGCAAGTCTAGGCTCATCCCAGACTCAGACTGTCTAACAAATCCACTGAGTCAGAATAATCTCGCTACAGGCAGTTGCACTCAAGAGCCCTTCACTTTCCACACTGTTAAAGCTTTATTGAGATAATGAGTAGACAGGATTTCCCTGATAATTTTATCAGTAATGGCAAAAATGGGCAGTCCTGTGTACATTCAAATTCAAGCTTCTTCTTCAATCATTACTCCTAATGATAACTGGGATCGCTCTTTATTC